AGTCTAGAAAATTGTTGTACGTGACTGGCGTCACAGTGACGTACTCTTTTCTTAAAAACCTGGAGCATGCGTCTGAGAATCAGCAGTTCGTTCAGCTCGTTACAGAGTGACAACAGACGCAAGATTTAAATATAAATGCGGCCATGTCGACCTGAAGGTCACATCCAGGAAACCACAGAAACAATACTGAAGTCGTAATAAATGAGATCATGGGAGGGCCTGCATCCACATCATTCCGGTTCCTCTAAATGCAGATAACAAACATCACATGCTTTATAAAACGTCAAAGGGGGCTTGCCTTACAAGCTTTGACGTAATTAGAAACAACGGAAATTGTTTTTGATGTTCTCTGAACGCTGAATTAAATAACTTCACGAAGTTTCTGGTGAAGAATAATATTATCTATAGTATAGTATTTATAAATTTTGGTGTTCTGCAGAAACAAATGATACAAGAATATTTGAATAAAAATTTCCTATGATATTTTCCATCGTCTAGTAAAATAATAAATAGATAGAGCTAATCCCTATCTCCGGAGATTGGGATTAGCCCTATCTATTTGGCCCAACAGAGTAGGTACCTGAAGACGGAAATAGAGCCCCATCTCCGAAACGTCGTTTTCTATTTTATTATTTTACTAGACGATGGAAAATATCGAAGGAAATTTTTATTCTAATAACTCACCATCGTGACGAACTTTTAGATTTGATGCAAGAATAACTCCACACTAAATAGTAAACAGAACAATTATCTAACTCTTAGCAAACTGTTGATTTCTAGGTCTACTCTAAGCTTTAAAAACGAGTTAACAGTGTGTCACAATAATAATAAGACAGATAAAATTTTATTTAAACCACGTCCAAAAGTCCTAAAAATTAAATCGTCACACCCAAACCTCGTTATATGAAACAATAGTCTATAACATAAACGTGCAGGTCTCTGCCTTTAAAAATAATTTCAGTGTTAATTTCTGCCACAAGAATGTACTAGAAGAATAAAAAAGAATAATTTATTTTAATTAATCAAAATATTTATAGTGTCCTAAGAGTCATCACCTCCATAATTGTAGGGACTTGTTCTTCATTACATGGTAGCCTCAAGCCCAGCTACTGGGTCGAAACAATGTAAAGCATCGGTGAATTTGGTAAGTTGATTTATGACACAAAAAAAAGAGTGTCTGGTAGTCGCCTGCTGTATTTTTAGCGTTGACCTCACAGCAGCTCTGTTTCTTACAGCTCATCGCCACTTAGCAGGATGGCCGTCCATCCCTCCTCAAGACACCAGGCAATCGGCGTCATCACCCTGCAGTCTCCTTTTCAACACAATAGCGAAAAGTCACTCTTTAAACTTGTCGCTGAATTAAGTAAGGCAATGCAGTCTCTGTTCGACACGAATTGAAAGAAATCTCCGTTGACGTGATGCATTTGTTAAGTTCCCGAAGGATTAGAACTTTCTTGAATCAGCAGGTCTACCACTATAAGTACATTCCAAAATCTAGTGAAGTGATTCATCAGTTAGCCTATTGCCAACAAGCTAAGTAAACCGCGCGGTAGTCATGTTGCAATTTTACATTCTTTTAAGTGTTGATAGGTTCCTTAATGAAAACTACACAACGTTTTATTTCAACTCTGTCATCATTAAAATTTTACATCTGCATAATTTTCAATAAAGGATTGAGACCATTCAACAATTTAAAATCGACACTGAATTGCACTATTTTTCTCGCCTTATTTAGACTTACCAAGACGGGAAAATATCTAATGCTGTGATGTTAACCCAATATTCACACAAACGTATCAATATTATTGTACTCATATTCTTAATTAAATCAGGAGACTGATGGACAGACAGACAGTCATATATATATATATATATATATCCACACCTCAAAGACTTCTATAGATGATAAGCAGAATCTTTTAAATTAAATCAAAATCATATTCCAATGCACGGACTGCCTTGGCATTGAAACTTGACTTCCACAGTGACAAGATGGCGTTTTGCGTCATGACTTCTCACTTACTGTCAACATATCCCTGTCCTGCGACTTACTGCAACCATTTCGCATTACATTTTAATTAGGCTGTTGTTTCTCTAATTAATTATATAATACACCGGACGACTGAAACCAGAGTATTGAGAATATATGGACAAGAGAGAGAGAAAGAGAGACTAAAAGGAGACAGGATAATAGTGCAAAATGAGAAACACCATAGTTTGTACCCGTCACATAATTTTATTAACGCGATAAAATTAAGAAAGAATGGGATTGGTGAGGCGTGGTGCATAAGAGACGTGAGAAATGCGTACAAAAATTTAGTATAAAAAGCTTAGGGGAAGTGATCACTTAAGAGACCTAGGAATAGATGGAGGAAAAAAAATAAAATTTAACTTAAATAGTCTGTGATGGTTAGACTGGATTCATATGTCACAGGACAAGTACAAGTAATGAACTCTTATAAACAAGGTAATTGACTTCGATGTTCTTCTGTGTTATGACGCCATGTGGACTTGTAGGTAGATACCAACGTTTTGGAGAAATTCCCGTCTTATTTATCCATTTATGTCTCATTTTATATAAATATTATCCTAAATTTATTTTACACGTATTATTTTTACAGTTTATTATTTTCCTATGTGCTAGTTCCACATTTATGCATAGCTAATTTTTACTAATAATTGCATTCTCCATTTTGTACTGTTTCTTTTCGCTGCTACGTTCGTAGTGTCGTTATTCATTTAAGACTACTAATTCTGTTATTGATATTTTATAATAGTTCTAGTGTTATAAAGGATGACTCATAAAGTTTACATGAAATCAGAATTAGCGCGGTCTGATAGTAATGTTAACACGTGAATTTCCAGGCTTCATACGTCACAGAAATTTACTTTACTCTTAGGAACTATACTTGCCTTTCCATTAAAAGCATATTCGAATTAAAGTAGACTAATATGATCACGATCGTGACTGGAATTACTGTGTGAGAATGATCACCAGGTTACACTGAGGTTGCCTCAGCGAACAGACTGCAGACCCCTGGCAAAAACTACTTCGATACAGGAAAATGCAACTTTCAACGGTAGGGGGTGGGTCATTTTGAAAGAATAAAAATGTATGAATGAAGTCCCTTAATACATAAATAAGCGAGTTCGGGAGGTTGTTTGTTTTCGTAAGTGTTTTACTGCAGCGTCTATCTGTGCGAAGCCCCACACGAAGTTCCTCGAGTTCCAGCTACTTATTGTACTCCCTGCTACAGATGTCCACCAGGCGCCATTGCCACTCGGAACAGGTTCGAACTGTACGTTAGGGTATACCAGTCTTAGAAGGGACAGAATCGTACACTAAATACAGTTCAGTACCTCACAACACACTAGATAACGTATTATTGTGAACTCTTTCTCGTGAGCACGCACGTGTACACATCACAATATTGCCGATATTAATATCATTAATACGTTGTTTTGTTTTTCAGCATTTACATCCTAATTAAATTATGTTGCAATCTGAGATACAGTTCACAGAAGAAACTAGCATTTTAAAATTTTAGTAACAAATAGTTATAATAAATAACGAAGAAAGAAGTTAATTTGACGTCAACAAATTTGCTGATAACTTAAAAAATACCAGGGTAAGTGAAGAAGTCATGTTTATCAGATTCCAGATTATAAATTACCATAATGCAGTCAACTACAATTCTTGAAGAAAGGGAGATTTAGGAAGATCACAAATGAGATAACTGAATTATTTGTGTAACAACAGATCGGGTCTAATGGGTCTAAACTATTTAACCATAAATGACTATAAAATATTACTCAAATTAATTTATCAAAATCAGTAACGACTATTGTGAAAAATCTCAAAATACGAAAACATGGAACACTAGAAATTTCGAAACAGGAACAAAAAATGCAGTGCAGGCCAATGAGATGCGAAGAGAGGTTGGCTATTGTTACATTTGTGTCACATTTTGTGGATTATCATTAAAACTTTTACAGACTACAAACACATTTCAATTCCAAATAAATCTCACCGGAGTCGTATTGCGTCATGTGTTTTGAAAAACACTCCTGTACTTTAACGACGACTGTAGATTGAAAATAAGGAAATTTGGGGCCCTTAGTTGTAGAGTCCTGGCTGTCTACTGGCTACCAGCTTAGTTTTCTTCACGCGATATCAATGGATCTTGCAGAAAAATCAACTATTTACCACGAAATTGGTGTATGATGAGTGTCATTACGGTAGTA